GCCTCATATCGAGCATCAGTTCAAGACAACATCTAGTTACTTCGGCCCACACATGAACTGAATTTCAAGTCTCCAGCCAAAAGACTCTATTGACCGAAGACTTGGGGGACTACTGTTTATACCATATTTAGGGCCTCGTATTTAGATCTTGTACAAATACTCGGGGGACTTAAATGCAATTATGTGATAAAGGAAATGGCAAATATGTAATAAGTGAGGAGTCATTATTCTATAAAAGGACCCATCACCCTCACAATTGGGGGATGCCATTTCTTAAGCCTTCTCACCCCTCTCACGTCCCTTATCATATTCAGAGGTTCTTTCCCTCACCTCTCAGATAAATACATAATCAGTGTGGACGTAGCCCAAACCTTGGGATGAACCACGATACATCTTGTGTTATTTACATTTCATGCAGATTCACGATCGGATTTACGTTGTTCCAAGACCTCCGGTTTTGTGCATCAATAAGGTGTAACATGTGCCCCTTTCCACTGCCTAGTGTGATGTTCCACATTTATTCCCAACTTTGAATCAAATTCAATTAGAAATAGTAAGGAAATTCTCTCAAAAGTAAGACTATTCGTGGATTCTACGTCATTTAGTGTTTTTAGCAAAATTTTCGTGCCAACATTATAAAATAGTGTCAAAACCATGAGGAGGCAGAAAGTCCATGAAAAATGTCACTTTGAGAGAATCTCCTTAACATTTCACAAATTAAAACATGGATCTATCAGTAAAATCCAATAATCCATACCAGATGAAACCGAAAATGCAGAGCATGCGGTGGTCTTAATTTTTTCTTACGTTTCTGATTTGTTTCTTTGTGTGGAAATAAATTGGAGTATTTAATTCAACATTAATGGAGTGACTAGTAGATTGAGTCCTGGATACATCGAGCTATGAGATTGGCTTTCTCCATGTTTTTCTGGCCGTCTTTTTTGGTAATCCCCATGCAACCTCCGCTCTAACCTTTCATCAGTCTTGATCTGACAGTCCCACTTCCAACCTTCCTTTTTCTTCTTCTCTCTCAAGTTTTTCCACCTCCATGACTCTAATCCAGCCATTTTTTTACTTTTCCATTTGCTTCTGTCCTACATCATTCTCACACATGTTCAATTCTGCAACCATCTCTTCCACCTGTGTTTCGAGGTTTTCTAGGAAGGTGTGCAGAGCTTCTGCTCATATGGTGTACACACCACCACCTTCCAATTGTATGCCGTTTTCGGCTTTTTTTGCTAGGGGAAAGTTCTTTCCTTCTGGCTTCTTTCTTTGGTGGTTGCGGTTTCAATTTGTGTGGTGTTTGGTGGAGGAAGATGGAGCCTTCTTCTTTGGCGCTGTGTTTGGTGAGATCTTTGGCCTAGGTTGTTGGATTGTGGTCGGCTGCCGGTTCTTTGACGACGACGGAGGAAGTTAGTCTTGTAAGGTTTTCTGTTTTGGGCCCTTCTCTCGGGTTGAGCTTTTGTTTAGTGTTGGGGGTTCACTTTTTGTTTTGTGTTTACAATGTATTTGGGCCTCTTTGTCTGTAATTGTGCTCTTTTGGTAATGAAAATTACCTTTGTCCAAAAAAGAAAAACAACGCCTCTAAAAAAGTCATTTTGCACATAATTAGAAATAAGACCATTTATGTTTCAATTATTAAGTTTAGTCTTCGTGATTTTGCTTATCAACTAAGGTACATTAACCTTTGATCCAACTAACCAACTTCTTACCGAGTGATGATGAGTCATCCTATATTTTGCGAATGTCATTTATACCCTTAGGCTATTTTGGTCACTCAAACTTGTGATTCAAAAATAGAGAACAACGAATGAAAACATAATTTTGAAGATGAAAATAACTTAAAATTTTTTGTTTTTAGTGTGTATCATTCCTTGTATATTTCATCTACATTCACTATACCATTTTTCCTTCATCCTTCTTTCTTTCCATATATATATATATATATATATTTTTTTTTTTTTCCCATATAGCAAGCACTAAAGGCGAAAACTACAAAAAAGCGAAACGATTATCACACAAACCCTTAGTCATGTGATTGACTGTTGTGGTTCACTTTAGCAGATTTGTAACTACTTCTCCCAGATTGCAAACAAAATCATTATCAAACAAATCCTCAGTGTGATAGAGTGGTTCACTTTAGCAAACTTGTAGATCTCCTAACTCCTCAACCTGGAGTTCCACAAGAGGAAGTAGGGTAACTATGCATAAACAAATCTGATCATATACATATTACCATTATGTATTACAAATACAATAGAGGAGTTCTTCAAATGCGAGTGTTTATTGCACCGGTAGCAAGTACTTTATGCTTCGGGTCATTAGCATGTTTAATAGAGATCAATCGTTTTATATATTTTTTTTCCATATTCATTGATATTATTAATTTTTGAGTAATGCGAGTGTTTATTTCACCGGTAGCAAGTACTTTATGCTTCGGGTCATTAGCAGGTTTAATAGAGATCAACCGTTTTATATATATTTTTTTCCATATTCATTGATATTTTTTTTTTTTTTTTGAGTAATGCTAGGGAGTCTCAATTTGGAGACTAAATTTTGAAAACTAAAGAACATGGAAATTGATGATTGGTTTATTACTTAAGTCTTAAAAGACGTGCTTATTTCTATTAGTAATACATCATTTAGTTTGCAATTTTAATCTTCAAATTTAGTTTCTTTAGCATTACTCTTATTTTTTTCATTCAAATTATTGATATGGGAGGTAGGATAAGATTAAGAGATACAATAAAATATACTCATCTATTTTTTTTCTTTGCTTTTATTTTGGGAAGGGGGGGGGGGGTGGTACTTTTTTCGTCTCTATTACAAGAGGGAATTTTGCGTTGCTAATGAGTAATAAGAATATGTTATGAAGTGAGTACGCAGTCTCAGACATAAACAGCTCATCTGTCTCATGCGATTGTTTTTATTAATGGAGCGGGCTAATTACTCCTATTGATGGGCTACATAATCAAGTAGAGGACCCGAGCGGCGGATTCAACTCATGTAGGTTTTTGTTTTGAAACCCAACCAACATTCTCGTTTTTAAGAAAATGGCAAATGGGATTCAGTTGTTCCTGGCTCAAAATTGAGCTCTTTGAAGGCAAAATGTTTTGGGCTCCATTCAGATGTGTCTTCATGGCAGGCTGCTACTGCTTTAGCATTCGTCCCGTCAGCGCCTTTGAGAGGCACAATAAAAGTCCTTGTTTTTTCAATTGCATGGCAGTAGAAAACGGCATATGGATAGATCATCTTATGGCACACAATAAGTTTGTTGCCTGCCAGCTTTTTCACTCCAGGGGTTATTGTGTAATTCTGCAGCGGGGCAGCTCCTTTTTCCACCTCCGTCGTGATTGCTTTAATATTATTTCTTCAAAGCTTGGAGGTGGTGAAGTCAATCATCGACTCTAGAGAGGTACCACAATATTTTTCTTCGGCTCTCATGGCCACCCCTTCACAATATTGGATGGTTTCTTTCATTATGTCGGCTTCCAAAGACCCCGGTTTCACTGAAAATCGGTTAAGAATTTCTGCCAATTTGCTTGAGCCGAAGGGGATGGACTCTGCAGTCTTGCGGGACAGGAAAGTTTCTCTGGTTGAATTTCCGGATAAGTGATAATTCACTGTTGTGCCAGGATGAATGTCCTTCTCCAAGAAGAAAATTACTCGAGTTGGGTCTTCAAGTGTTGGATTTTCAGCAGCATCTTTATGTCTTTACTTTTTGATCTGCATCTTGCCTTCAGTTGAATCATCCCGGTAAAGATATTGAACGTTAGTTGCAACATCTGCAACTTGGTTATGAACAATAACTCCCCCTTTGCCAACAGTAATGAAGTCTGCGGATTTACCAACATAAATAGCTATGGAGCCAGGGTGCTATTTCTAGTGTAGCTATTCCTAGAAGCGTGACAAACAGTATGTCATAATTTTTTACTTTTTGGTGCGCTTTTTTAACTTTTTGTCACGTATTTAGCAATCGCTAGGCTAGTAACAACAGCCAAACTTGTTCCGCGGTTGTTGCCTCTTTTTCTTCTTGTGCAAAAGTGAAAACATGTGTAAATCACAAGGACGATTGGTTGTGGAAATGAGTTTTTGAAGCCAATCTGAGGTTGTACATAGATACTAACCAGTCTGGACTAGTTGACTGATATCTTCGGCATTGGTGAGTTTGGCTGGACGGAATTCCAGTAAAGCTGAGGTGACAAAGGTAAAGCAGCATGGACACCCACCAGTGTGAGCTGAAATTAAACTCGCACAATTAGTAAGAGAGAAAGAAAATAAAATTAGCAAAAACATAAGATCAATCAAATTAACTATAGTAACAGGGAGGATTCAAAATTACAGCTCTTACTTACAGTTAGAAAAGCAAAGATTCTGGAGAGAAGGAACCCCATTAAGACTCAACTTTTGCAACACAAACGAAAATTACTGGATGAAACATGAAAACTCAGAGAGATATGGTAAACAGTAGCATATGGGTTCAATATTTATGGGGAAGTAAGAAGGTGAACTACCAAATTTGTTGGGATTAGGTGTAAAACATGCAGCCCTTGCCATTGCCTGGTGTGAAGCGCTCATATTTTTGTCGGCCTACCTGTCAACAGAAAACTTTGTGGGGAAAACCCGGAAAGCAAGAGCATGCAGTGGCCTGAAATTTTCTTTAATTTTGAAGCATGCAATAGTGGCCTGATTTTTTTTTTGAATTTGTACTTTTGTGGCGAGATTTTTTTGTGGATTTTTATTTGTACAAATGAAACTTCCCTTTGTTATCTGGTGCCCTCCTTGGTTTGGGATTTTAGCTTCTTGGCAGTCCCTGGGTAACTGCTTTGATTAGATCGTAAAAGAAATTAAGGTTCCACTTCCTTATAAGTATATACAAAATTTGTTAATTATCGACATGCAACGTACTCAACTCCCTCCCTCTCCTAAGACAAAGGAGATGAAACCCGTGTATCATGCATATAATAGCACGACAATTTAAAACTGAACCAGTGGACAGATGGCACCACAGAATCAAAGCATATATAACTATTACTGAATGTAGTAGAGCATGTCCACTAGCATGCTTTTTGGTACAAGTCCACACGATAGTATGCTTTCATTTATGAGTATATATATAGGCTGAAATACATAGTGACAATAAGAAGTAATCGACGGTCGATTTAATTTCAAACTCTTGCCACTCAAACTATGCTGATTGAGCTGATCACATCATCATACGTAGAACTCAAGGGTTGATCAGTCAAATCAGGTAGATTTCTGGTTTGGAACCCAGACAACATGATCACTGGGAAGGAAATGGCAGACCGGAACAGTTCCCGGCTTAACTTTGAGAACTTGGAAGGCCAAATGATTAGGGTTCCACTCCGATGTGTCTGTATGGCAGACTGCTACTGCTTTAACATTCACCCCATCAGCACCTTTCAGGGGCACCACATAAGCTCTTGTTGTTTTTGTTGCATGGCAGTAAAAGACAGCATAGGGATAGTTCTGCTTGTGACACACGACCGACTTATCCGCCGCCAACTTCTTCACTCCAGAAGTTATTGTGTACTTCTGCAATGTAGCTCCTTTTCCGGCTTCTGTCGAAATTGCTCGAACATTTCCTCCTCCAAGCTTAGAAGTGCTAAAGTCAATCATGGACTCCAAAGAGGTAGCACAATATTTCTCCTCTCCTCTAATGGCTGGATTCTCACACTCTTGAATTGTACCCTTGATTATATCCGCTTCCACGGAACCCGATTTCACTGAAAATTGGTTGAAGATTTCTGGCAGCTTGTTGGACGAAAATGGGATGGATTCCGCAGTTTCGCGCGGCACAAAAGTTTGCGTGTTTGAATTTGTGGTGAAGTGCAAGTTCATTGTTGTTCCAGGACGCATGTCTTTCTCCAAGAAGAAAATAGCAACGTTTGGGTCTTGATGGAGTTGGGTTTCGGTGGCTGCATACTGGTAGTTAAAAGGGTCTGGTCCTGGTTTTACTCCAACATACACGGGCTTTCCCTTGTGCCCTGTGTTTACGGACACTCCTCCTTTGCCAACACCAACGTTGGTTCCCTTCCCGGTGTTCACCCCAGTACCGCCTTTGCCTCCTACGTTCACGTTAGTGCCACCGCCTGGCTTTCCTTTTCCGGCTTCCACATGCACTCCAGTACCCTTCCCAACATCGACATGGGTGCCTCCGGGCTTTCCTTTTCCTGCATCAACGTTGACACCACCCTTTCCTACTACAACAGAGGTGCTCTTATCCTCTGTGAAATCTGCAAATTTTAGCAAACATAATGGAGAACAGGTGAGAAGAGGTAGAACATCAAAATTGTTAAGCTAAAATTTGTGAGAATATTCGGATCATATATAGAAAATATGGGAATTCGCCGTTGAGGTCATATATCTAAAACTAAAAGTGAAGTCAAATTTATCAGCACATTCATAATTGTGAAGTCAAATTATATTTTCTAACAACATAAGATTGTATAGCTAAAAGTGTCATAAAGTTTATCGGCACATTTGCACAATTGTGAAGTCAATTTATTGAAGGTATCAGGAACGCATCAACGAACGACATGGCTTTAGAAATTTCAGTCAACTATACTAGGAGCAAAGTTTATAAAAAGTTGACCGATTGTTTTGAAATTGACTTATTATATTGTGGCTTTTAGTGACATACATGTAAGAAAATAAGTGTATATACATACCAAGACCACAATCCAATTTTGATCAATGAGAACATTTAAGCTATTCCATCCCTTCAACTTTTATAATACTAAATTGTTGCTATTACAAATGGATTATATCACTTTTAGAGAATATATAACGCATTTCTTGACATGTACTCTCTAATACATGTACATTTTACATATATACGATGGTTAGACTCGCCTGTATTAGAGAGTGTGTCAGTAGTGATCTTAATTGTGTATGTCTAAATAGAATTATTGTCTAAGGAATACACAATATCTGAGCTTCTCTGAGACTCTAATACTAACCTGCAGGCTGGAGAAGTTCACTGATAGCTTTTGGCATTTTTGAGTTTGGCAAGACAGAGTTCCAGTAAAGTTGAGGTGGTAGAGCAGCATGGCATGCCACCAGTGTGAGCTGCAAATTAACAATATTTGAACCCTCATCAGCACCATCACGGACGCAAACACAAATCAACTGAAATCAAAAAGTAATATTTCAAAATTAGAAAGCTTACAGTTAGAAAAGCAAGGATGTGAGGAAGACAGAACCCCATTGAGACTGAAAATATTGGAACAGAATGCTAATGGATGAAGAAAGAAACTCAGAGCTACTGAATGTGTTAGCAAGAGCAAATAGATTCCACATTTATAGAGGAAAATGTACCATGTACTGAAAGTTGATGGGTCCATAAGTAACTCTCCACCTGCATTGTCGACTAGTACCTTAATTACTTCAACTGCCCTAGGCTCACTCACCTTATTTCATTGATGTCGCTAGGGACACGTGCAGGCCATGTAGGGACTCAATATAGGGCAAGGATTGTTTGCCCTCCACTTCCGGTGCGCTCTCCGTACGCTCCTGTTTTGTGTGGTCACGTATGTTAATATTTTATATTATTTTTTTTTATAGATATAATAAGACAAAAATAAATAGTAATATAAAATGTTGACGTGGCTTAACCGTGATCACACAAACAGGTGGGCACGGAGAGAGCACCGGAAATGAAGGGCAGACAATCCTTGTCCCTCAAGATAATGCAAGTGCATGAGAGTGAATAAGAAACAATATGAGTTGGTTTTTTATTGCAAGATGTCTCGACACACCTAATTAAGATGGTTGTTAATTGAATCGAAAATTAAGTAATGTAATTTTTAAACATGGGTGCTTGAATTTAGTGTAGTCTTTAAATATGGATGATGTTGATTTATGGCATTCATATTTAATGATTATATTGATCAATTTTTAATTTCAATGATCATCTTGAATTGGTTTATCAATTTTCAAGATCATTTGTAATAAAAATCCGCATGAATTTGGTATAAGATAGGATATACATGTGAGTGTGTGAGTGCGTGAAAACTTTGAAAACAAAGAGGTGTATAGCTTGGACTGGTCATTGGTTTGTACTTTAAGTTAATTCAATGACAGACATTTGATAAAATTTTAAGGTCACTGTAACTCTATTAGGTGGTATTATAGGAGGCTTCACTGCTGTCTCATTTTGTGTGCCTCATTTTGTGTCTCTTTGTTAATATTTTAACACATGTCATTTAACTTAACATAGATATAACTCTGTTAACTTTTTATTTAATATTTAAAAGTAAAAAAAAACCAAAATAATCAGACCGACTGTTCGGTTAATAAATCTAGAATTCTTCACTGTTTTTCCGTGTGGCTCTTGATTTCTTCCAATCTTTTCCCCGTTCTTTTCATCCAGACTTATTCTTCAAAGCAAGGTTTCCCAGTTCAAGCTTTTAATCTTCAGGTTCCAAATCAGTATTCATCACATTTCCTACTTGGCCTGTATAATCAAGGAATTTGAATTATCCAAATCATCTGCATAGCCACCAGATGCAACGATACTAGTAGCAAGGATCTTACCACCATGCTTTACATAATCTGTACCACCTTGAATCTGGCGATGAAGGTCAACAATTGTAAGTTCCGCTCTGTAATGGATCCAGTAGGGATTCATATAGTCAGGTATGTAGGCCTTCAAATTGGAGTCGGTGTCATTGATTTTAGTTGGAGAGAGCAATTGTTTGGGCTAAAATTGAGAAGGATGTAGGAGCAAAGGGAGACGAAGGAAGAGGAGGAGATGGAGGGACGCCGGGGCGTCGATGAGAAGATGGCGAAGGGTGGGTACCTTGGTCGTCGGTAAGAAGATGGGGGAAGAGATAATATAACTGGTCTAATTTTTTTATTCAACACAAAATAATAAAATTTAACAGTGTTAAGTTTTGGTTAAGTTAAAGGACACATGTCATAAAAATATAAAGGAAACACAAAAAAGACACGTAGTTGGAGACAGCAGATCCATAGCCATTATAGGATCAGTTTACGTAAAAGTGTTAAACTTTTTAATTAGATCATGTTAAAAAATTTAATAAAAATTTTACTTTTAAAATAAAACAATTTAAGTGATTTTTTAAACAAATTTTTTTTGAACTTTCTTGCCATTTAAAAACGTTTATATTGGGAGCTGAAAACGCTTTAGATTATTTTTAAACCACTTTCATACAGGTTTATAATCTATTAATATTGAATTACGTGTTTTATTTGTTAATACTTAAAATTAATGCAAACTTATCAAGTACTCTTTAGAAAATGTGTAGTATATATATTGTTACCACTGCACACAAACATTATGTCGCAAGTGGCCCTTTACACCAGTAATGAAAATGTCTTGAGTTCTTGTATAACGACGTGGGTTCAAACCCGGTCAGTGGTTAATCTAACATCTAATCTAACAAAATCTATCGTTTAACAAAAAAAAAACAAATATTATATCTTTTCTTAGAGGAATGGGGCAATCTCTACTACTTGCGATTTTAATCATTTCAAACTAAACAACCAACTGCCCCCATTTATTAGGGTTTAGTAGGAGTTGCATGTCGTCGTCTTCTTCTCTCATTAATTTTTGGTGGCTTTCACCAGTTATTTTCTCTTCTGTTTGTTCTCATGTCCCTTTCCATATTCAGAAAAGTAATGTGAATTGGTGTCCACGTTAGCTTGTGAATAAGTAACGTGAATTTGATGCACACGTTAGTTTTGGCAAGAACTTATTTGGTCTTAATTTCATTTACCAAGTTTATAAGTTAATCGAGATTGTCAAAGAAAGTATGTTATATCATTACGTACAATCTTTGTTTTGCAAAAGTTTCTAAAACGTTTCTTTTGGGCCAAATCCCACCACCAACTCCCCCCAATAATAGTGGGACAAACACAAAGAAAGAAAGATGAAAACTTTGATAATATCAGGGAATTTGGATTCTATGTTTGGTGTTGTCTTTTGATGTCTTCTACTTGTCACAAGGTACATTAAACCCATGTAATTCTTTTTTCTTGTTTAAATATAGTTAATTACTTTGGAGATATACTTTCGGTTAAATGTCAAGAAATAAAGATGACGTGACATGACTTTTATTTGATTGTTTACTATGTAAACTATGGCATGAATTTTATAAGGATCGATGTATGTTAGGACAACGTAGAGATCAAAAGTCAACCAGTGCTTGGCCAAGTGAAGGATTCTTATAGCGTGATGGTCTTTGACGAAGCCTATTATAATCACTGTTTTCTTTTCATATTGTTTTTGCATTTGCTTGATAATATAGGTCTAAAAAATATAGTCGGTTTTCGGGGAACGAAAGGTCTTCTAATCATCTGAAGTTCAAATTTTCTGCACTCAAACACTCTTGTGGCCCCTCTAAATATGCGACACGTGTCCACCACTTACTAATATTAACTATGTTAATTTTTCAGTTAGCATTAACCCATGTTATCTCCTCTTTTATCTGCTAAATTTTTTGAGAAAATAATTGCAAAATGCAAATGACGCTTGGACTCTTCCAATTCCCTCTGTCGCAACTCGCCTTCTCCCTCGCTTCGGCTTCCATAATTATCAAGATCAAAATCCAGGCTCCATGGTTCAGTGTTTGGACATGAAGATTGAGAATTTTGAAATCCAGCTTGGATTAGTTTAATCAAGACCAAAATCTGGGCAAAGGCCGTGAAAAAAAATAAAACCATAAACAAAAGCTGCATCTATGTCAATCCATTCACGTATAAAATAAGAACAAATTACTTACAGAGGGAGATTGATAATTTTAGCAGATAACAGGGGTTAATGCTAACTGAAATATTAACAGAGTTAATATTAGTGAGTGCCTGAACACATGTTGCATATTTAAATGGGTCACGGAGGAGTCATAGGGATTTGGGTGCAGAAAATATGGACTCTTAAATTTGAAGGGCTTCCAAAAAAAATTATCATTTAATATTTATATGTAATAATGCTATATATTAAAAAATTTATTTTCATTAGCATTTTAAAATCTCATTGTACATTCTTTATAAATGTAAATTGTTTTTTTTTAATTATAAAATTTGGAGTGCAGTATAACACCCTATAAAACGCTTTTTTTCTTTTCAATTTTATTATATTATAAATGCTATATATTCAAGTGAAACTTCAAAGTTAGAGTTTTTGAAGTTTTATTTCTTGTTTGGTTGTTTAAGATTTGACTACTTTTGATTATTTAGTAAAGGTATATTTGTAACTCTTTTTACTTATTATTTAATGACGTTTGTAAACTTACAATTAGTGAGTCCTAAAGTTTGTTTTAATTTAAGTTATTGCTTTCTAGCATCAATACATTATCTTACTTTCAAAAATAAATAAAAAATAAATAAAATTAAAAAAAAACTATCTTAAAGGGGCCCTTTTATAAATTCCGCACAAAGCTTCTAAAATCTCAGAGACAACCTTGCTAAAATGCTAATAATATTTTTCTTCTTGATATAGGTATCTATATTTTATGTTCCTCTACTCCAAGGGAACGAACCTAATTCACCTTGCGCCGAGTAAAATTGAGAAATTTAGAAGAAGAAAAAACTCGAGACTCTCCCAAGTTTTATATTTGCATGTTGTAAACAAACGATATTATCTACACTAAAGAGGAAGGGATGGGCTAAGCCTCGCAATGAGTTAGCAATAATGTGATTCAAATATTAAACTATTTTCTTGGTTTCCATTTTTCTAGAATTGTCATAGGGTTAGTTAAGTTGTTCCAGCGTAAAACTTGACAATTCTAGAAAAATTAAAATGGAGGACAAAAGTGTTTTGAGCCCCTAAAAACTACATTTTCCCAAAGAATAATGTTAGGGAGACCAAATTTTTTAAATCAAATTTGCAAACTAAATGATGTGGTTGGAGATGATTAAATTATTAACCAAGTGTCGATTAATGTGCTTGTTTCTTATTAGTGACACATCATTTGGTTTAAAAAAATTAGTGTCCCAAGCATTACTCTTTTCCAAATTTCCTAGCAACATTGGCTTTTTGAAGTTACAAAAAAAAATAAAGACTGGTTGTTATTTGTCAAAAGAAAATTGTTGGGTTTCTTGATATTTCCAAAATGAACAAAAGAATTCTCAATCTCATGTTATGGGCTTTGGATGAATATAAACATACGTGAATCCACTACCTCAATTTTTGCCAGAGTCATGGTTTGAGCCTTAAGCATATGTAGGAACTTGGTATCCAATATATATTTGGGCCAATCAAGTAATATACCCTAGATTAGGTACTCATTAAATTTATGGGCTTGTTGTCTTTGTGGTCATTAGAAAGCAAAATATTTGCTATAATCTCGACAAAACCTTAATCCCAACTACCAAAACTTCGCTAAATAAAATAGAACAATTCAATCTGAAAGATGTTATGAATCATACATGAAAACATTGGATGAAATTACACAATTCAAATCTTCTGCACTTATTTTGTACGTGGTCTCTCTGTGATCTTTATTATTGGCTGATACGTGTTAATAAATTTAACACTCCTTAATTTTATTATTATAAATTAATCACGTGTCAATTAATGATAGATACCACACACAAAATAAGTACAAAATACTTGATCTCGTCATTCCAAGTCATGGTTTAGTTTTGTAAAACTTATGTCGGCTTCCCTTTTTAATTTGTGACTTCCTTTTTACTTTAAATAACAAACTTCAAGTCCTACAGCCTATACGGTGGGCTAGCGCACTACTATCTTCCTTTTCTTTTTTTTTTTTTTTTTTACTTTCTCACATCTTGGCAAACAAGCAATTTTCAGGTGTTTTGATAAGAGCCTCCTTTCCCCACTAATGTGCCTTTTATTATAGCCTTTATTAAGGCATTCTTGTTGAATAATTAGCAAGTAAAACTTTGGTGGGGTGTGTCATCCACTAATTAGAAGAGTTTTTGGTTTTTTCTTTGGTTAAGACTCCTGAAATTAGTCAAATCCCTTGTGGGGTTTTTGTTGTTTGTCAAAGCAAAACATTGGTGGGGCGGTTTGCATATTGTGCAATTGTTCTCTTGAGGAAATGTTGTGGAGATAATTGTGATGATGTTAATTTGAATCCTAATCAATGTGGACAGCTTGAGCATGTCATGAAAGCAATTCTTGTACTAAGAAATTGAAAAGAAGCCATTGTTGTAGAAAGGTGATTCCCCTAGGCTATTAGTAATAGTAATTAAGATTTGGTGATCTTAATTTTTATTTCTCTTTTCTACTTTTCATAAATAGTAAATGACAAGAACATTGTGCCAAAATGGAAGGTTAGATCATTAGTGACATTTTATTTTGTTTGAACTCAAAAGAGATTGGTTTTAAAGAATGGTGGCAATTCCTCGATCGCAAGGTTTCTTTTCCTTTTCTTTTTCGTTTTCTTAATGAAGAGTTTTGACAAGTTTTGCATGTTAAGAGAATCTTATTGGGCTAAATAGTCATTAGCCTTAATTAGTGTTGTCTTAACATACACACAACAAGCTTATCTATGTATAGGTTGAGCATAACTCGACTCCACCAATAACCTTTGCTCTATGTGCTTATAATGTTTTTGTTAGAGGCCGATGCAGTACACTTAACGTCATTTAAAAATTCAGTTTGTTTAAATTGAGAAAATTATAGAAGTTACGTAGCCAAAGCATTATTTCATTTGATTCGAGTGAAAGCATATAAAAATTAAACCTTCATATTCAAAACCGCATATATAATTGACCACTCAAAGGTTCTTTCACACAAACAAATGTCATATGATATGCATCCCAGAGGCACAGTAACCCTATGGAGAAAAAAAGTTTAAATGCTCCTGGCTACTGTAGCACTTGATATTTTGGTCACTACAAAAGAAAACGAATCTAATCACACAGAAAAAGAGA